GCATATTTACAACAAAATAATCTTTTTATGGCATATTAAAAGACTAATTACGTTCACTCCAAATACTAATTAGTTGTAATTTTACATTTTTTAAATTTGCCACTATCCTAGGTTTTGCCCATTTGTCAGTAAGAATTTTTTACTCATTTAAAACACAATAAAATTTTATATGCTCTCTTATTCTTTTATATATTTTAATATGTACACGTCAGAATAAGCATGTTGTTTGAATTTTTACATAGATATTGTGTTACACTGAATGCCAATGTAACATTATTTCAACCAAATTTTGACATTTTATTCTCCAAAAACTTATTTGAAACCTTAAAAGTAGACACTTTCCTTACATTTAATGTGCTTTCTATGGATATAAAAGTACTTTTGTAAATTTCTTTTGATGCTTAACGTCTTTGACCCATTTATTTTGTGTGTCATTATTTATATTTATTTCTCATTATTCAAAACAAATCATTAATAAATGGGTAAATACAAAAATAAAGAGTATAAGAAATAAAAATAAGTCAAAAACTTAAATTAAAATCTACACAAATGAAAAGATGGCACTCTGGAGACCAGTCACCTACAGAATGAATGAACGAATGAATGCAAGAATAATGAACTAAAATACATAAATGCATTCTTCATTCATTTACTTTTGAATATTTCTTACTTATTTTTATATTATTTTTATGTGTATGTATTTTTGTAATGTATTCATTCATTAAAAAAAAAAATGTAAAAAAAAAAATTACATTCATTATTAATAAATTGGTACAGTAAATATATTAATAAAAAAAAGATACAAGAAATAATTTTGAAAACCCTGAAATGTATGACCATTTCCTTTTGACTAGTCGGTCTTATCAGGGTCCATCAGACCAGGATCAGATGCAATTTTATAGGGGCACTCACATAATATGGAATCATGTAATATTAATTATTTTTCTTTATTTTTGTGCTACAAAAGCAGGTCGTCACATCAGCAGTTGCCACGGGCCCCTTGCGCTCACTTTCTGTCTCTCAGCTAAAAATACACAGTGCTTCTGCAGCAGTAAACCATTGCAGTTTCGATGTTGGATAGTGCTGTGCTCATGGCACTGCTGACCACTGGTTCTGCTGTACTGAAGCTCAGACATGCTGAGAAAGGCCTTAATTAATGGAAAAAAGTGTGTGTTTGTGTGTTGGAGGTGTGCGTGGTGAGCCAGGCGGGGGATGATTTATTCCAGTGTCACCTTGACCCCTGACGCAGAGATACAGCTCAATTAAACAGGATTGGCCCCACAGCACTGCTTTCATCTACTGCCCGTGAGTTCTGCAAAACACGCACACACAAGGGGCCACATTCACTGGATCCAATAACATCCATATGGAGCGCTTTTCACCTCCCTCTGCCACCAAAAACCAAAAATGTTAATGACCTAAACCAAAATGGAGTAGCATGAAGAATTGATTCCTACAGGCTGTATTGTTTCTTCTGTGGTTCCTAATTGCTGTTCTAGGCTTCTGTTTCCAAAAACACTTTAAATCATTATCCAGAGATCTATAAAACTGGCCTCAAATCAGTGGTAGATCATGAAACAGAATCAACATGAAACCGAATTCGCAATCCTTTTACTTCCATAACGTGGAGCGTTTGCAAGTGAAATACGGTATTCAACGATTTAATCAGATTGATTTTCCTTTGCTCCTTTTTCTGCCATAGGCAACAGTGAAAAATACTTCCCCACTAAATCCTTCAATTAAATCTTGCAGTTAGATTGGATGAATCCATTGGGTGGTGCTGTGGAGACGTAACATCCATATATTTAGTAATTTCTAGTAATATCTTAATTTTTTTCATTAAATTTACTTTTAAGTAACTTTTAGGCTTTTTAAAAAATATATATTTTATTTATAATTTAATTTGTATTAAAATGTAAAAATGTTATTTAAAAACAAAAAAAATGAAAGAATGAACAAATGAATTAATATATGCCTTCATTATTAATGTTCTTTTGAATAGTTCTTATTACTTTAATTATTTTACATTAATTCTTTCATTTTTATTTGTGAATTAATTAAAAAATGTAAGCAATATAAAAAATAATACAATTAATAATTAATAGGCACTGAAGATATGCTGCTCACAATTAATTCCTTTTTTTACATTTTTAAATAAATATATAATTATGCATATTTTGTTTAAAAATGTAATTTAAAAGAAAATCAGTAAGGTAAATTAATAAAAAAAACACAATAAGTAATAAACATTTCAATTAGAAATTTAATGTTAACTTTTGATGAAAAACTTAATGAAGCCTGAAGAATAGACAACTTGCGTTTTTTTCACAATTTTGACACATAAAACCAAGCAAGTTAAAGTGGCTAGTCTGTTTACCTGCAAAAGCCTTGGAGATGTGTTCCTTCTTCCACTCCCAAGGTTGGTCGTATTCATCTGCGGGCCTCTCGTCGTCCTGCGGCAGCCTGCTCTCCCTCCCCTCCTCGGGCAGATCCGGCTGCCCTGGGACGCGCTCCTCATATGGGGTGTCATAGAGCTGGACCTCCCCTCTCCCCCAACCTCCTGCTCCACCACCAGCTCTCCTCTGCAGCTCTGCAACACCAAATAAACCAGTTATAAACTTTGTTCAACCCTAATTGTTCTCCGTTCTCCAAATTTCCATTTAAGAAAAGCTGGTACTGACCCCTTAAAGGAATAGTTTACCCGAACTTTTCTCTGTAGATGAGTTTGTTTCTTCATCAGAACAGATTTGGAGAAATGTATCATTACATCACTTGTTCACCAATGCATCCTCTGCAGTGAATGGGTGCCGTCAGAATGAGAATCTAAACAGCTGATAAAAACATGATAATCCACAAGTAATCCACACCACTCCAGTCCATCAATTAATGTCTTGTGAAGCAAAAAGCTGCGTGTTTGTAACAAATAAATCCATCACCTTGCTTGATCTGTGCATATTTCTCTCCTATTCAGACAAGATAACTTGTACACTGGAGAAAGCTATAATATGGATAAATGACTCATATTTTAGCTGAAAGCAACAGTTTGAAGTTAAAAACATCTTGATGGATCTGTTTATTACAAACACGCAGCTTTTCACTTCACAAGACATTAATTGATGGACTGGGGTGGTGTGGATTACTTGTGGATTATTGTGATGTTTTTCTAACAACACCCATTCACTGCAGAGGATTCATTGGTGAACAAGTGATGTAATGATAAATTTCTCCAAATCTGTTCTGATGAAGAAACAAACTTGTACATCTACATCTCGGATGGCCTGAGAGTGAGTACATTTTCAGCAAATTATCAATTTCTGGCAGTTCGTGATCAGAATAAGTTGCAAAGTTCCAGATTTGTGTTGATAGTCCAACGTCTGGCTTTGTAAGATTATTGCCATAACATTGGGTTTGAAAGCTGATTCAGGCATCTTCTAGAAGTTTTACTGTGGCATGTGTTCATTAAAACGGTGCGAGACAAGCCGCGCTGTTAAATCAAAACACAACAATAAATCGATATGTTCCCTGGGCTCCACAGCTGGGCTCCCTTGCCTGGGCCACATTAATTATGAAAATGTCTGGTGAAGAGTGGCGGGGTATGAATCTAAAGGAGAGACAAATTGTGTTTGCACAGCTTGCCGATTTCATACGGGAGGGCTTAACAAAAAGAGAAAGAGATGCATGTGTGCGCATAGATCGAGTCAAACTCAAGGACTGGGGTCTCTCATCTCTCCTGATGGGCATTTTCATTTCCATTATCATATCTCTCAAACAACAAGCGTTAAACAACAGGATGTCTGAATGACCTTCAAGTGCTTTTCAGCAAAAATAATAGTTGGTTAAAAGCCTATATGAAAAGAACTGCAACTACAAAATGTTTTGAGGAATATTATGCTTTCATTTTAGCTCAAGTTAGCTTGCTAAACTGTTGTCTTGAATCAGTAGATGAATGTGAACTAGCAAGACACCAGTATTACAATTCTGGCCTACAGAAACCGATAACCATTTAACCGATAACTGGTACTAAAATTCTAGAATATTTTGTTTAAATAAATTTAAAATAAAACACTAATAACTAAAATCAATCGTTTTAAATACTACAAGTGAATTAGGGCATCAGGGTTATTATCGTTAACTAAAACTAAATTAATTTTAAAAACAATTTCTGTAATAAAAAAAAAAACCTAAATGAAAATGAGAAATTTTGCCTTGGTAACTAGTTGAAATAAAATAAGTACTAGAATAACTAAAACTTAAAAACTACATAGACAAAAAAAACGAATAAAATAAAAACAACAAAATTACTAAAACTTTTAAGTTCAAATAATTAAATTAAAATTAAAACAAAAAAAATCTAATTCAAAATTTAAAAAGTATATAATGATAAAAAAAAAATAACATTGTTCGGCTTCACAGCATTATGAACAGCATGAAAAACGGATATTCATTTTGAGATTGGCTAAAGTTTACATTTAACTTGTTATTAATTTTTTTTTTTTTAGATATTAACTGTTAGAATATTAAGTGTTAGAAAATAGCAAAGGAAATCTAAACATTAAACTGAGAGGTTCATGTTATTTTAGTATTATTTACATTAACTTATTTTTAACTTCAGTTAGGGGAACAAGGGAACATTTCTATTGTTCATTTAAGCCATTTAATTTAAGTTTTGAATAAGTTTATTGAATAAGTTAATTGAATATTTACATTTTATTTTATTTCGAAAAATGTAAAAGCTTTACTTAACTATAACAACACTGGCATGCACAATTAAATATCTACTATTATTCAAAACAATAAATTAAATTTTTAATATCGGCTAATAACCTATATGGTACCGATATATTGTGCAAACACCGTATTTAATAGACACTATACTTAATAAAGGACACAAATGTTGTTGATTCAAAGTTGTATAGAACTCTGAACATTCTCTTAAAGGGGTGTGGGATTACAAATTTAAGAATCTGTTTTAAATATGCTGATCCTATGACACCAGATGACTGAAGATAAGTCTTCATGGTTCGGAAACCTGTTAGGTAAACCCTGGCTGTGGATCAAGGAAATAGCAATTCTGCTGTTGTTTTTCCTACTGGTGTACTATCTATGCGTCCACAGTATCAAGTGTTTCATTCAACAAATGACCCACGCCCATCACGAGGAAATGACAGTTCCAACCAGAAAAGATTATTACCCGTAAGAACTTCACGGACCCTAGCTGCATGTTTGTTTCTATGTCAAACATGCCGTTCGTCACTATAGTCAAACAACACAGAGCAAGTGATATGTGCCTGTAACGATCACAGGTTACAAGCACAATGCACTGGGTCAGCTGGCCAATCAGAGCAGACTGCGCTTGTCGGAAGGAGGGACTTTGTAGAAAACGAAGCGTTTGACAGAGGCGGGGCATAGAGGACCTACAATAATGTACAGTATTTGAAAAATACTGTGTTTTTTGAACATTAAAGCATGTCAACATATTCTGTTACACCAGATACACCAAATAATGATCTTTAAAAAAGCATCATATGACCCCTTTAATCTTTTCAGCCCTAAATGTTAAATTACAAAGACATACATGAATTAATCCCTCGAGTTTCATCCGGCGAACGGCCCAGACATTAAAAATTATGAGAAGTGTGAAACCAAACAGACCAGACATGGGACGGACCGCCTGGAAAGGAACACTGGCATGTACATGTGTTTCAGTGAGAAAGAAAGAAAGCAAGCAGGACAGAGAAGAAACCAGGCAGGCGTACCATAACAAGAGAAAGACAAACTTTAACCTTCACACATCCTGCTTCTATTGGGCTCCTTAGCCGTCTCCATAGCGACAAAGAGGAGGCCCTGAGGGACAGACCCTGAGGTGGACGGAGAGAGAGAACTATGGGAGCGTGTGTTGATGTTAAGCGTTTGTGACGTGCGAGAGAGGGGCTGCTAGATTCCCCCGTACCTGAGAATTGATGGAGAATGAGAGAAGAGATTAACCTGTAGAGATGGATTGAAAATTAAATGAGGCTGCCTTGAAGGCAAGACCGATCTGAGGAGAAATTAAGGTGGATGCTGGGGTCCTACGGAGAGAAAATACAATACAATTCCCTTAAAATATCTAAGGAACATCACATTTCAGCTCTGTTCCAAAACCTAGCAAAGTTTGTCTACTGTCTATATAGACAGCTACCTTCTAAGTGTCCGTTCACATAGAACATGTTTTTTATATTCCACTGCGCTGCTTTCTCATTGTTTTCTATGTAAACATGCACTAGACGAACATGTTTGACCATTTCACTCACAACTTTTACAGCATCTTGCACATGACACATCCTAATAATGTGACACTCAAGGTAAAAATAGTTAAACTTTTTAAAAAACGTCTTGTTTTGTGTAAATGGCCCTTAAGTTAACATATTAACTCAAATGGAACATCACAAGCAATTGATTTGCAGTAGCTAAATAGCACTTCTCACATGAATTAGATGGGAGCCATGTTAGCACATTGCTAAGCTAATGTTAGTCATGATACTCTAAGAATTAAAGAAAATACAACTCCAAACAAATCAGGTACAACAGTCAAGTTTTAATTATGTTGAACTATTAAACTAATACTTTGAATGCGAATGAAATTGTGTCCAGAAGAGTTAGCATTAGCAGTTTTGAGCCACTGGTTGACTGAGGAAATTTTGTAATTGTTTTCGTGAGTAAAATAAGGTTGTGTTTTGTTCTACAACATAAATTAGTCATTGACATCATACCTCCAACATAAATTTGGAAGAAGTTGTGTGCTTTAAAAAGCAACTTGCTAACAAATCGTTAAATGAGGACTACCTACGATAAAGATATGAGTTTACATATTTAAATCAGGCAACCATGTTAACAACTTGCATTTTAAAATAAAAAATTTTAAATTGACATTTTGCAATGCCGGTTAAAAGCCTATTTGAAATTAACCACAACTACAAAATTCTACACCGACATATTCCTCAAAAAAAAAAATTAAAACCATCATATTATGCTTCCATTTTAGCTAATGTTAGCTTGCTAAACTGTTGTCTTGATTCAGCAGAATGTAAACTAGGAAGGCACGGTATTAATATTCTGACCGATACTGATAAACAGAGTTATTTAACAATACATGACAATATTAAAAATCTATACTATTTTGTATAGTATCTGGGAGTATATCCGGGTATAGTATCCGGGTGTGTGTGTGTGTGTGTGTGTGTGTTCACTACTCAATGCTGTGTGTGTGCACTTGGATGGAATAAATGCAGAGCACAAGAAATTAGTATGGGACTGTTGAGACACCATACTTGGCCATGCGTCACGTCACGTCAATTAAAACACTAAAAACTTGGATATTGGATATTTGGATATTTATTTTGAAATTTGCTAAAGATTACTGTTAACAGTGCTATTCAATTATTAGTGATTTTAAAGTTTGACTTTAAGTGAGCGTTAGATGACAGTAATGGAAATTTAATATGTAAAAATAGAGGAAATCAGCATCACAATTAAAATTAACATTTGAGGTATATATTGTATGTCATTTATGTTGTAGAATAAAACAAAATGTTAAAGTCTACTCAGCTTATGCTAACTACAGACCCCATTTTCTCATAAAATCAAAAAGCACTATTCTAAAAACCCACAGGAAATTCCTGAGGGAACCCATAGTGAATTAGCCTTCCTGGCCAACAAACTGACATCATGACTAAACAACTTTGTTATGATCGTCATTTCTTTGGACTCTGCCGGTATCACCAATGCATTGTGGGCTTAGAAAGCAGTAAAATGTTGGTGGCTACTTTTTGGAATGTTCTGTGTGTACCGATGAAGTATTAAAATGCTATCTACATCTTGAAGCAGATAAAATCTCTCAAATCAGTAAGTGGCAAAAGTCAATGGGAATAAAACAATGGAACAAATTGCATGAACACAGAACTGTAATCTGTGAGACTCCAGCAGAGAATCAGCAGTGAGTCACTGTCTGACAGCACTGGATGACTGGGGACTTGCTGAGAAAGACACACTCATAATAACACTCATACTTCATTCTCTCCATACGACTCAAAGGGCAAACCAGACTCCCCTGGGCCATGGGAACACACACCAAAAGAAATAGGACGAAATCTGACTAACCAGTTATCACTTTCTGGGCCTCGTAGGGCTCCATATAGCCGTTGTTTTCAGGAGTGATTTGGCTTTGGGTGGTTTCGGGACGGGGGTCCAAATGAGCATCGAATGGGTCGGAGTAGTCGGTATCTCCCATAACTGGAGCTGAAGGGACCACCTGAAACAAGAACAAAGTCATGTGATGATCTTCACCCAGGAGAAGGAACATACGATATCCCTTTTATTCAGTGCAACAAATTGAAGATTATCTCAGTTTGCTGAGGGATGAATGAAGGGAAATCATTTTTTTAATTCTGAGGCAAAAAAACACTTCATTTTCAGTCAAACAGACAGCATCTCTCTTCTTTTTTTACACTGCTCTTTTAGCACCAACAATAGTCATAATTTGGTGTTGTATGGACATTTTTTTTACTAAAAAAAAAAAAAAAATTCTAACCAGGTGTGCGATAAAGTGACAAGCAGCATTTAAATCAGTTTTTTTCCTAACTGACTGCAATAAGCAGCAAAATGAAAGTTGCTAACTACTGACTAATTGTTCTTATGTAAATATATTTGGTCATGTGCTCATGGTTGTGACATCATGATTTCTGAATTACATGTCTTTGCTATTTACCTTCTTCTAGGGCTGTACTTTTAATCTAAACAAATCCAAAAATCGCAATTTGGCTGTGCAATTATCGCATCGCGAAGGCTTTGTAAAATTTGTGATTCAGTTAAATAAATATTAGAGCTGCCATAATTGATTAATTGCAATTAATCGCATCTAAAAGTTTCTTTACATAATATGTGTGTGTAGTGTGTATATATATATATATATATATATATATATATATATATATATATATACATATACACACACACACGTACATATTTATTATATATATAAACACACATGTATGTCTGTGTGTATTTATATATGCATATAAATATACACAGTACACACACATATATTGTGTAAACAAACTTTTATTTTGGATGCGATTAATCTTGATTAATCGTTTGACAGCACTAGTTGCTTTGGACCATGTCTAAGGAAATTTAATTATGCATGTTTATTTCTTATATTTCTATGTTTAGATTGTTAGATAGTTGCCTTTACCATCATCTTTAAAAGCAAATCTTGCAAATCTCAAAATGAATATTTATTTTTAATATTTATTCAGTTATTGGCTACAGCTTGAAAATTATTATCGACTTATTGCATCAGCCAAAAATTTACTGAATTCTTCCCTAGTTTAATAGAAAATAGGTTTGTTATTTACTGAAAAGTTATATTTTAGCTGGTGTCAATGATCTTATGTTGCATTTTGTCAGACTCAGCCCATTGCTTTACTGAAGTATATTATATTGTTCTTTTACAGCTGCAGACTGAGGAAGATCCTGAAACACACCAGCAAACCCTAAAACAGACAACAGTTTACAGATGTTTTTCAGTGGCAGCAGAACTATGACTAAACTTTTGGGTGAAACTTGTTTACTTTTTTCATACTTTTATTACTTGTGGAAAAACCTGAAACAATTTTAAATAAGTATAAAGAATGGCATTGGTTTTGTACATTTAATTTTTGTTTAACGTTATTAATAAAAATGTTGTTCAATTAGCATGTTTTTGTGTCTTGCTTTGGTACCGAAATTGGTACCGAGAACCGTGGATTTTCACTGGTATTGGTACCGAATACTGAAATTTTGGTACCGGGACAACACTAGATGCGATTAATCGATTTGACAGCCCTAATAAATATATGAGCTGCATGTTTCAGAGTGAACCTTGGCACAGTCTTCTTTTGATGGTTTAACATTTAAAAAAATAATATGAAGAAATCAAGCTCATAAATATTAGTATTGTAATTTTACAGTTTTACTGTAAAATAAAATTATTTTATTAATTTTCTTAATCATTTCTATATTTTATACATATTACAATAGCGATTTTTAAAATTTCTTTAATATTTGTAGTAATAATAAACAATATTAACACAAAAAATATTTTTATTATATTCCTTTAATACTCTTTTTAATACCCCAAATCGTGCAGTCCTTGTGTCTTCACATACTTTCAAATCACGTACATATAGCAACACCAGCTCATTCAGCGCGAGACACCGAAAACCAGCTGACTCGCAAAGATGTGCTACCTTCTCCCTTGAAGCAGAAGGCGGCAGTGGGGAAGTGCTGATGAGCGTGTTAGGAGGTGTGTTTGTCTCCCATACCAGGCCCGGGAGGAAGCCCTCAATCAGCTGGCACTGGGACAATTACAAAGACGGCCATATGGTCTCTCAAACAAGGCCTTTAGCCAACGGCTCCATGCGGCACCATTCAGCCTGCAAACCATGGTGCGCAACAATCACCCGATTTCCCACCAGGCAAATCGCCCAATTGTCTGGTTGATCTTTAACAAGAATAGAAGGACAATAAATCTGAAATGTTCATTAGGAACGCTATAAAAACTTAACTAGGTTTACGGTGGAAATTAATGAAGGTTAACAGGGAATGATGTGTAACGGTGCTCGCAAGACAATGCACTTAAAGGGTTGCCATTAAATTGGGATTTAAATCGATGGCGTGGCATTGGCATGGCTGTTCTTCAAGCCCAACCAATCAGCTCGCTCATCACTGGTACTGATTACGATCAATGAGACTCCACTGAAGGCTGCTATCTGTCCGTGACCATGTGTGTGAGTGCGGATTCCTCCGCTGTCTGCCAGCATTGAGTCTCTACTCGATGTCTGATCACAGGACGAACCTTTCTGGCTCTTGTGAGTATTCTCTATGGGACCACCCCAACCCCACCAGCCTAACTAAACTCCATGTATTATTCAAGAGATTTAGCTGTGGTGGATCAAGAGGTTTTGACACCTACAGTGCTCCGAGACACGAAATCTAATGCAGGGTTAACAGAGGGTTTACATGAAAGATTGTTTCACACTGCAAATCACTTATTTGACTGTTTGTTTTATGTATTTCATCACCTGATGGCTTCAGGTATCACCAAAACTCATCAGATCTATGACTACTCAACATTTTAAAAAACACTAAGAGGTGTATATTAAGTTTATTTTTATTTTTTTCACATATAGACAAAAAATTAATTTTCAAGTTGTAAATAAAAGAGATTACTGGAGTACGTTTTACAAGAAAAAAATTATATGTATTTTTTTTTTCTTCCTTGTAAAAGAATCTCCCATTGGTTGGTCAAACACACTTTGTTGGGAAGGTTACTTTGGAAATGTAACAAGCTACAGATTACAATTTAAAATGTAATAAGTATTGTAACTATTTCAATTACTTTGTGTTGGGAAGGTTACTTTGGAAATGTAATAGGTTACAGATTACAAGTTACCCTACTTAAAATGTAATAAATAGTGTAACTTTTCAATTACTTTATTAAAGTAATGTAACTGATTACATTTTATTACTTTTCTAAATTTCCAACTGTTAATAATTTTCAAACCCTTAAGCCAGGCAGGGTTATCCTTACAGTTGAACTCAACACTGATTACTGTCAGACTTACTAAATCATTCATTTAATAATTTAATTTTAAAGCACAGCCACCACAAAATCAGACTTTAGCACCTCTTTTTACTTTGAGATCGTTCCGAGTTATAATACAGATCTAAAATCATAACAAGAAATAGTTTAATAGCTATGATACTGTTTTTGAAATCAAATCTTTGCATAGCTATGACAGGAAACACTGGCATCTAACAATGACTTGGAAAAAAACAGTTACTGAAACTCCTGAAACATTGGTGTCTCATATTTTAGAGCAGTCAATGCACTTTGGAAAAGATATCAATTTAATATGTATGTGTGTGAAAATATTATTTTATCTTTTGCATAAACATAGGCTTTCTACTAAAGTACTGTCATTTAAATAACTCACCGGATCTGTTGGTTCCTCTAAAGACACAGAGCTTAGAAGAATCTTGCTCCGTCCCAGGTCTTGCGAGTCCACCTTTATAAGGCGATGTTTTGGCGAAACAACCTTGATATCCAGACTTGAGGATTTCAGAGGAGAGCCGAAACCCATGTGGGACGTTTCAGTCGACCCACTGTCATTTCTAGCCCTGTTCTGAAAGTCTTCATATGGGTCTTCAAAGTCAAGGTTCTTCTGTGCACGATACGCCTTCAATATCTCACTCTCGCTGTAGTCTGGTTTTGGCGGTTGCGGGGGAACTCGTTTGCTCCCGAAACTTAAATAGTCCTTTAACCACTTTGCCATTCTATTCTGTTTGTGAATATCCAACAGTGAAGGACACAAAGACTCCAATGGTCCTCAAAGTGTCCAACGGTGACCTATAATGAGGTCAGGGATCTAGAATATGTATGAGATTAGATGTTTATCCACAAGCTAAGCAGAATACCTTGGAAACAATGCACTGAATTCATGTTTCAGTTCAAAGGCACGAATGTGGTCCTCAAACAAGGTCGATCCCTGGATATACCGACCTGGATTTTGAGGTGGTCCATGGACGGCAATGATCTTGATGTTCTCAACACCTCTGCAACAGCAGAGATTAACATTCAGGTATAAAATAAATGCATGTGACGGAAAGAAAAATAATTTATTCAGCTAATAATATACACATTGTTAAATCTGAGAAGTATTTTTCAAATATACAGAACAGTCTTCTGATCAATATGATGTCCTACCACAGACCTGTCAGAAAATGATTAGAGATCAACTGCTGGATAGATAGATAGATAGATAGATAGATGAGCTTTTTACTTTGGTAGATAGTGAAACTGCTTGGAAGACGAGCAGCTAATAATTTAATTTTAAAGCACAGCCACCACAAAATCAGACTTTAGCACCTCTTTTTACTTTGAGATCGTTCCGAGTTATAATACAGATCTAAAATCATAACAAGAAATAGTTTAATAGCTATGATACTGTTTTTGAAATCAAATCTTTGCATAGCTATGACAGGAAACACTGGCATCTAACAATGACTTGGAAAAAAACAGTTACTGAAACTCCTGAAACATTGGTGTCTCATATTTTAGAGCAGTCAATGCACTTTGGAAAAGATATCAATTTAATATGTATGTGTGTGAAAATATTATTTTATCTTTTGCATAAACATAGGCTTTCTACTAAAGTACTGTCATTTAAATAACTCACCGGATCTGTTGGTTCCTCTAAAGACACAGAGCTTAGAAGAATCTTGCTCCGTCCCAGGTCTTGCGAGTCCACCTTTATAAGGCGATGTTTTGGCGAAACAACCTTGATATCCAGACTTGAGGATTTCAGAGGAGAGCCGAAACCCATGTGGGACGTTTCAGTCGACCCATTGTCATTTCTAGCCCTGTTCTGAAAGTCTTCATATGGGTCTTCAAAGTCAAGGTTCTTCTGTGCACGATACGCCTTCAATATCTCACTCTCGCTGTAGTCTGGTTTTGGCGGTTGCGGGGGAACTCGTTTGCTCCCGAAACTTAAATAGTCCTTTAACCACTTTGCCATTCTATTCTGTTTGTGAATATCCAACAGTGAAGGACACAAAGACTCCAATGGTCCTCAAAGTGTCCAACGGTGACCTATAATGAGGTCAGGGATCTAGAATATGTATGAGATTAGATGTTTATCCACAAGCTAAGCAGAATACCTTGGAAACAATGCACTGAATTCATGTTTCAGTTCAAAGGCACGAATGTGGTCCTCAAACAAGGTCGATCCCTGGATATACCGACCTGGATTTTGAGGTGGTCCATGGACGGCAATGATCTTGATGTTCTCAACACCTCTGCAACAGCAGAGATTAACATTCAGGTATAAAATAAATGCATGTGACGGAAAGAAAAATAATTTATTCAGCTAATAATATACACATTGTTAAATCTGAGAAGTATTTTTCAAATATACAGAACAGTCTTCTGATCAATATGATGTCCTACCACAGACCTGTCAGAAAATGATTAGAGATCAACTGCTGGATAGATAGATAGATAGATAGATAGATGAGCTTTTTACTTTGGTAGATAGTGAAACTGCTTGGAAGACGAGCAGCTGCAACAAGCTGTTTAAGAACAAAAGCAAACAAACTAGAGGATTCGCACGTGCTTCTGATACGCACAAAAACCATTTCAATTCGACTATAAGAAGAAATTATTTCACAAAACCTGAACATTAACATTAAATTTCGATTAAGAACAACTGAGAACGAGCAACTCTATGAGATAACAGCTGAGAACTTCTCTTGTAAACTAAACGTGAACGTGCGTGAACAGTCGCACTTTCAGTCAACGTTAAACATTTCACAGCTGACATGATGAACACTTCATCTAAAATGCCACTGTAGATGATTTGAGATGAGATGAAAAGCTGATGATGAGACCAAGTTGTGATACTCACGTTTTTGAATTCAGCATTAAATGATCGTGGAACTCCAGACGCGGTACGAATGTTACGGTGTCGCACGAGGACAACAGCACACGCGCCGATAATCTGATGAAGAACGCGCTCACCCTCACCGCTGGAGAACAGACGAGAAGAACATGAAGCTCGTCTGAACGCGTCTGGTCGTAAGTGAGCGAGAGGGAGAGAGACAGACTGAGCGAGAGAGCTGTAGCGTTTAAAGGGGAGGTCCTTACATCCAGCGGTGCTCTATTTTCGCTTTAGCCGATCATTATTAGAAGCTGTATGGCACAGATTTGAAAACATGTATGCTTATTGTAGGTGTATTATGTTGGCATAGTTTAAGATTGATTACTGTTAACAGCATTAAATAAATAAACAAATAAAAATATACATGTTTCCACTCCAGTGAATATTTCTCAGATTTGGTTAATTTTTGAAACTCGGTTTGTTTGGTCTTTACTACAGAAAAACACACGCACACACACACACACACAGATGGTCACACTAATGGGGTAAGTTGTCAAAGTGGCAATTAAACAGACTCTTATAGCAATTTAATGACATTTTATGAAAATAAACTAAATTAACTGGACTTCTTACTCAAAACCTTTTTACTGAGATATAGTCTTTATGACAACTCTGTGTGACAACTAGCCTCTGCCTGCCATAATGCTGCAAGCCTGCAACTATTGTCATAATCTATTAATTTATTTGTTTGATTATGTAACTAGAAAACTAAAAAGAAAAATTGAAATAAACAGAACTTTAAGAATGTTTTTAGTCCACATTTTGTCTCTTCAAACACTATAATCCACAAATGTAAATGTACACAATAAAATGATTACATTTGATCCCAATCAGTGAGGATGGATAGAACGATGGACGGACAGACAGACAGACAGACAGATAGAGATAGATAGATAGATAGATAGATAGATAGATAGATAGAGAGATAGATAGATGGATGGACAGATGGACAGACAGATAGATAAAGACAGGCAGATAGACTGACAGACGGACAGATGGACAGACATATAGACAGACATTAGATAGATAGATAGATAGATAGATAGATAGATAGATAGATAGATAGACAGATAGATAGATAGATTCTGATTAATTAAGGGAAAGCAGCTCCTCAAAAAGTTTTCACACCTGTGATCCGCTTTGACAGTCTCACATGAATCTGACAGACTCACCAAAGTGTTAATGATGTGAAGGTGAAGGTGTGTGTAAGTGTTTTGCACACCAAAATCCTCCTCAGTTACACATTTGGAGACTGAACGCGGAGGGAGAAAGTCATAAAACTGAGGCCCAGGGCTAATCGTTTACAACACACAAAAAATAACAAACGCACATCTGTGCCACTAGCTTGCGGTTGCCGTCCTCTCATACAGATGTCTTAATGTTCTTCAGATGCTAATTGAATTCAAAGAAGAAGCAGATGACATTGTCAGCATATATATATTTTTTCCCATGCTGTTAAAACGTGAACCTGAAAATCTCACTATTTACACTGTTTATACGACAGCAATGATCTCACTCTCTCTTTCTCCCACATGGAGGGAAGGATGAGGTCATAGCAGACGCCATCCGCCTCCCATGCTGTTAAAACGTGAACCTGAAAATCTCACTATTTACACTGTTTATACGACAGCAATGATCTCACTCTCTCTTTCTCCCACATGGAGGGAAGGATGAGGTCATAGCAGACCCCATCCGCCACCCCCTCCATCTCCAAGCCAGCGTCGACACACATCTTCCCCTCACTTTTCTAAATTGCCCCTTTCAAACGGGGACATGTTAGAGAGAGGAAGGGCCTCCTGGGACAAAGAAAACGCCAGTACAGAGAGGGGAATTGCCCTTTTCTAAAGAGAGACAGAAGGGAATAGGAAAAAGGTTAATATATGATTTGAACATTATACACTTAAATGTGCATTTTTGTACCAGTAAATGCTCTCAAACCATTTGTATACATTCAGAATATATAACGTTTTTTTATATTAATGCTTTAGCAGTGCAAATGCTTTTTTAAAATATGAGGCCGCTAATCCCAATTTTTGATTTTTGAAAAGTAAATCTGGAATAAAAGTCACTTTTACATACACAATATGTATTACTTCTTAACGGAATATGAGAAGTATGTGATAATGAAATATTTTAAATAAATTAAATTAAATATTAAACTAAATTTATTTTAAATATATTAAATTACAAATTATATTTAAATTAATTTTAAAATGACAGATATTGCATTTTAAGGTCAGGTTTATTTATTTTATTATTATATTTATTTTTTATTTTATTTACATTGTTGTATAAAGCTCCTGTATCTATAAAACACATATTATAATATATAATGTAATATATTTTATTTTTTAACATAAAATATATTGCATATACATTGGATTACACTGTATATGTCCTATTGAATTGCACTAGCCAATATGAACAAGCGCTTAGTATTTATCGCCCCCAAGTGGTCACTCATATGTGTTGCCACATCTGAACACTCACTATGTATTTGTTTCTTCACAAAAATCTTACAGTACTAACATAATTATTACAGTGTGTTATATGCACTTTCATTGATTAATCAACTATATAATCGATAATACTATGGGTGAATTAAAACATAGTATAATACTCACCACCAGCTAAAGAAAATAATCATTTGGGCTCCAAATAAAATATGCAATGCAATATTTGCGCTCTACAGAACTGTCTGGCCGTTGATTGGCTTATATTTATTATTATTTTATATATATCTTACATAATTCATATTAAAGTCAGCAGAAGACACCTGAAGTTTGAAACATGTGGTGCGCGAAACTGTCAATCAAGACTCTACAGCCCGCCCCTCGCCGCTGATTGGTCGGATTTCGTGCCCTGTCAGCCAAGTCCAACAGGCGTGTGTTCTGCACATGACGTCAGGGCATCCCACCACAGCACATCCATACAGCAGACCTGAGGAAAGCAGAAGAACACCCCCAAACATCAAACACTGAATGTAAGTCATTTTGCATTGATCTTGTTTTATTTAATGTCTTCCGTATAAAGCTTCCGTATTTCTATGACTTCTAGTGTTGAGTCTTCAACAAGCATGCACTTAGAGCAAGAATGATTATTCAAAATAAATAATTATACAAAATAAACTAAGTTGCTATTGATTTAATGCCAGATATATTGAACGCATTAATCATAGAAACTTCTGTATTTATTCAAATTTTATAAGACTTTCAGGAGGCGTGTGTGTGTGTGTGTGTGTGTGTCTGTGTGTGAAATAGTATATTTTAATTTCCTAATATACATAAAATGTGTTTTATTCATTACAGCTCATGAACATACTTTAAAACAAGATGAAAACATTAAAAGCAAAGTTCAAGAAGTCAGAGGTAAGAACCCGTCCCGTGCTAAGTATGCTAGTCTTCCTACTTCAGTATGTTTGCCTATTAATATGAGCCATTATGTTTCCAAAACTGTTTTATATAGTACCTAAGTTGTTGAGTATTTTGGTGACTTGTTGCTTTGTATGTGCAAATGTGTTTTAGCAGTAGAAGAGCAGGCCAGCCTGCAGACGGCACCTGAAACCAGAGACCTCTACTAGTGTTCAATTATTGAAACACATTCATTCACTCACACTCACATACTCAGTATATGATGTATCCTGCGCTTTTCATTGTTTCATTTAGCATTAGAAGCTTTTATGGACCTTCATCTTCACTAATATTATTAAAACAGTATGTTATTGGATCTGAGCCCATGTGTGAAGGCGAAATACACCATCCTAGTATTCTGAATGAAGAGTGTGTGTTTTTCCCCGACTGAGGTTGTGTAAGGGATGAGCAGCTAGATGAGCCACTGTGGGGGAGAGAAAGTGAGCTGGATGTTTTCTCTTTGTTTTTATCCTATCTTTCATCCAAAATTCATTGGTGGGGTCATAAAGTCAACATAGATATATGTGAGTGTGTTAGAAAAGTTTCATTTGTCTAAATGGGTGGCTATTACTAAGTCAGAGGAAAAAAAATCAAATACAAATATTTAAAACAAGATGAAAACATTAAAAGCAAAGTTCAAGAAGTCAGAGGTAAGAACCCGTCCCGTGCTAAGTATGCTAGTCTTCCTACTTCAGTATGTTTGCCTATTAATATGAGCCATTATGTTTCCAAAACTGTTTTATATAGTACCTAAGTTGTTGAGTATTTTGGTGACTTGTTGCTTTGTATGTGCAAATGTGTTTTAGCAGTAGAAGAGCAGGCCAGCCTGCAGACGGCACCTGAAACCAGAGACCTCTACTAGTGTTCAATTATTGAAACACATTCATTCACTCACACTCACATACTCAGTATATGATGTATCCTGCGCTTTTCATTGTTTCATTTAGCATTAGAAGCTTTTATGGACCTTCATCTTCACTAATATTATTAAAACAGTATGTTATTGGATCTGAGCCCATGTGTGAAGGCGAAATACACCATCCTAGTATTCTGAATGAAGAGTGTGTGTTTTTCCCCGACTGAGGTTGTGTAAGGGATGAGCAGCTAGATGAGCCACTGTGGGGGAGAGAAAGTGAGCTGGATGTTTTCTCTTTGTTTTTATCCTATCTTTCATCCAAAATTCATGTCTGGGTTAGATGTCCGCATACTGTCTGCTTTTGGTGGGGTCATAAAGTCAACATAGATATATGTGAGTGTGTTAGAAAAGTTTCATTTGTCTAAATGGGTGGATATTACTAATTCAGAGGAAAAAAAATCAAATACAAATATATTTTGCATGAAGGAAATTAAACCATTTTTTCTGTAATTTCTGTTATTCTCAGTGGTGATTCTCAATAGATACATTATAATGCAGTAATTATAATATATTACAGTAGACAAAAATGAACATGCAACCATAATTTAATATAAACTATTTATGCATAATGGTAGTAATTGTTTGTATTGCCTTTAATTTGTACTGATTTATATATATAAAATATATAAATTATGTATTTTTTTCAAGTCTCAGTAATGATAACAGTTTAATTAATTTTAGTATTATATATATATATATATATATATATATTAATTACAGTATTTATTAATATTTTTGAATTACATTATTTTTTATAAATATTAAATATTATATTATAATATATAAATTATAAATTAAATTATAATATAAAAATAGTATATTTATATATGCATTTGTCTTGTTTTATTTTTAAAAAGTTTTTTTCACTTATTTTTATTTAAGTTTTAGTAATTTTAGAACTTCAACTTAAAATTTTCATTTAAGTTTTTTAAGTTAAAGTTTTCCATCTAATATTTATATTTTATTTTATTTCAGCATTTTTTAATTGACAATTTTTTAAAATAGATTTAGTGTTATAGATTAGAGTTAATAAGAAATAACAACACTGAATTATTATTTTTTTTTTTTTTGCAAAAATTGGAGACAAGTTGTCATTGTCTAATCAAATCCTGCATGATGGTTAAAATCAAGTCCTGGCCTACATTTGTTTATTGTTGAATGTTTAACTCGAAACATGTCACATTACAGAAGTAACATGTTTTAACCAACCAGCCCAGTTCCTCCTCTAAAAGAAGTTCAAAAGAGCTTTTCATCAGACAAAAATATTGCTACGCCTTTGTGTGAAAAAGATGAGTCATCAATATTTACAACATGAAAAATGCATCAACATGCCTATATTTGCTAAAAGCTTTTGTCAACTTTAGGAGTGCGTTAGCATATAAATGACCTCAAATGACTTAAAACCACAATATTATTATATTATTATTACTATTATATACATGCATCTGTATGGCATCACAGGAAGTGATTCAATCAGACTGACTTGGCATAAAAGTAATACAGTAGTGTGCACTAGACACTGGGAGGGGTTGCAGAACCCAAACTGTGTGTGTTTTTATACTTCCATTTAGTCTGATTGCTGAGTGTGTATTTCCCCGTTGTGTTTGCTGAGTTCTCACCCCCTGATGCTAATACAGTAGCTTTGGGATCAGAGAACGATTAGGCGAGACATGAGACATATAGGGAACGGCGTGGATGGTAAATGGTGGTTGGAGAGAAGTGAGACAGAATTGGGATGGAGAGTAAAAAAGAAGGGCAACGGGACAGGGAGGTGTGTGTGTGTGTGTGTGTGTGTGCCAGGCAGTGACTGCAGTGTGTGTCGTATATCTCTGCAGACAGCAGAGCAGGACGGCATAGCAAGAGTTGCACATGACAAAGCTGCATTTGCAGGACAGATTTCAGCAATCAGATATATAATCAGAGTTATGTATTTAGTAGCGCTTAGGCCTTCGTGTTACAGAGAGATTAGATACTAAGTCATAACCTTGGCTGTTTTATGATGGCTTTGGCACAATGAGGAGTGGTCGTGTTCAGGTTCAGTTCAGTTGAACTTTTTTGCCAAAGTATTTATTGTCCTTGTTGAGAGCACATAGTGTGGATGGGTCGTGGAAAGAAGCAGAGGTTTCAGACGTCCTCTGAGCTCTATGGATCCTAATGCCATCTTTAACCCAATGAAAAGCTTCTGCATGTGTTACGGCGTGATTACGGTACGTACAGCCCCTCCTTGTGAGAGTATACAAGAAACGTTATTATTTCACATTTTTTAGCCAATATATCAATAAAAACCTTAAAACAATAAAAATGTAGCAAGAAATTTCGCAAAAAAAAAAAACATATTGTGGCCACGAATTAAGAATTAATTCCTACAATATATTAAATTGTTTGTTTTAGGTAAATGGTTGCCATGTTATTATAAGATGTTCCATAATTTTAGTCTATCAGATTAGAACAAGGGAAAGAATAAGTACAACATGGTCATGATTTAACTAAAACAAGAGAACGTATTTGTTCAATGTGGACGCGATTTAATTAAATCGAGGGAACAAACTAGTACAACATGGTCGTCATTTAACTAAAATGAGGAAACAAATTTGTACAATGTGGTTGCGATTTAATTAAAACAAAAATTCTAATTTGTACGTGTGGTTGAGATGAAACTAAAATAAAGGAACAAGTTACAACATGGTCGCGATTTAATGTGGTCGCAATTTAACTAAAACGAGGGAATGAATTTGTAAAATGTGGTCTCAATTTAACTTAAACGAATGAACGAATTAGTAAAACACGGTCGCGATTTAACTAAAACAACGGAACGAATTTGTACAATGTGGTCGCGATTTAACTTAAACGAAGTACACGTTAGTCGCCTACATGTTCACGGTTTTACTAAAAGGAGGGAACGAATTATAAAACATGGTTGCGATTTACCTCAAAGAAGTACTTAGCTTTAACTAATAAATGGAAAGCAAAGTTACATTGAAAATTCTTTTTTCTTGCTGATCCATGAAAAACGGTAATATGATCTGAACCGTGAGTTTTGTGATCCGTTGAACCACTATTTGAAGAGTTTCATGATTTAAACTTAAAAAGGGCTATGCAGTAGATTTTGGTTAAAGTATAGGCCTAATATTAAAATAATATGTGTTTGTGTTAAAATAAGTTATGTGTGTCATAATGTGCTTTGTGTGTTTGTTTGTTTTTTGTTTTTAGAGTCAGGACTGGAGTAAGACAGATGACAGATTGTTGCTGGCTGTGGAACAGAATGATCCAGAAAAAGTAGCCACGCTGCTGGTGAAGAAAGGTCTCTGCCCGTCCAAATTGGACGCGGAGGGCAAATCAGCGTGAGTGGACCTTTGATTTCAACTTATGATGTAGTCTTGTCAAAAATATCGTACATTTATATAATTACTTTATAAAAAATATAACAACACATGAACAATGCAAGAAATTGCTGAACTCACAGGTTCCATCTTTGTGCGTCTCGAGGTCGGTTGGACTGTCTGGAGGTCATCCTCTCTCATGGGGTGGACATCAATGTAACAGACGGCACTGGTAAGATTTAGTGTACTAGTAATGGATGTACTTAAAGGTCTCAAAGAGATTCATTCAGGTAGGAGTCATGAATTATTGTCCCAGAGTCCTAGAAAGAGCTGATGCTGATTTGATGTTGATGTTGAGGTATAGTTCAAATGTTCATTCTGTAGGAGAGGATGCCTGTCGATGCCACGGACACTTTTGGGAGGACGTCCTTACACCATGCTGGTAATAAAAACTCTTCCAATATTCAAATGTTTGAACATTGCATTTGTACGCTGTTGTTGGTTTAGATGTTATTCTGCCTTTGTCTTTGTGCAGCTGTAAGTGGCTGCTTGTCCTGCACTGAGATTCTATGGGATTTTAAAGCCAACCTTGATGTTCAAGATGGAGTAAGTTCATTTGAACAAAACACAAAGTAAAAAGAGGATTTATTTTGTACATTTGGCAGAAGATTTTATCTGGAGTGACAATCAGGATACACTTTTTATTAGTAAGCATGTATCCACTGGGACACTAAGAAGTATCCTCCCAATATTGTGCACAGCAAGTTGAAAATTTAGTTCTAAAAGGTTTAACTTACTGTTTTCTCTTAGGATGGGTTAACTCCATTGATCCTGGGCGCCCAGATGAGCAGAGTCGAACTTTGTGCCTTCCTTTTGGAACGAGGAGCCAATCCTAATATACAGGACAGCCAGGGCAGGTTAGATATGCTTTAAACAGCTTGTGTACAAAATAAGAGCTTTATTTGATTATTATTCTTATTTTACAAATTGGAAAATACTGGATGGTTTAAATCATTGTTGTTATTGTGAACTAAAACTATTAAAAATCATTTTCATTAATTGAAATAAAGCTGCAATAAGATATTCATAATGAAAAAAAAAAAACTTAAATGAAAATTAGAAATGTTGCGTTGGCAGCGAACTGAAATAAAATAATCTGAAGTTGAAAATGACTAAAACTAAAAAATCTATTAAAGCTATAGAAATATTTAGGGGAGAAAAACAAAACCTATAAAAATTGCAAAAGTAAATTAAAAATAAAAATATAATTTTTTTATTTGTTTCTATTCCTACAGTTGAAATTAGGAAATTATCATTTATTTATTTATTTATTTGTTTTCTAGTCCTACAGTTGAAATTTGGAAAATTATCTTTTTTTTTTTACTTTTTTTTTTCTAGTCCTACAGTTGAAATTTGGAAATTATCATGTTATTTTATACAGAAAATAAATATATATACTTCGATTTCATGTATTGGACATTTGAGTTCAAACTCATGTGTTTCAAGGCAGATCAGCATTGATGTTGGCCTGTGAGAGTGACAGTATGGAGACTGTAGAGGTGTTACTGAAGGGTGGAGCTAACCCACACCTAACTGATGCCCTGGGGCACAACTCCGCCCACTACAGCATCACCGCCGGCAACCACAACATCACCCAGTTTCTGCAGAACATAGGCATTTCCACAGGTAACCACACACACATCTAGCCCTCACCTTTAAATCCTTCGAGAGAGAGGGACCATCTGGTGCTTAGTGGTTCTCTGATGTTTGGCCCCCATTTTCATTTGGATACACTCGTAATCTGAGAGGAGAGACTAAAAAGCAGATGTTACGTTGGGTCAGGAGATGAAAACAGAGAAGTTTGCTAACTCAAGTTACAAAGGACGATTGGAAACATATGTCGCACTGACTTGGAAATGGATCCCAGTGTTAATAAAGGGCCCCCGTGGTCGTACAACCTGACAGATTGATAAATGTGCTGCCTGCCTGCTTTCATGTTGCCTCTTTTTTAATGCAACAGTGAGCTTGTGGTGGAACGGGAAGATTACCCTTACCAAAAAGTAGTATACTTCAAGTTGGAACACAAGCATAGCTCAGATATATTTAGACTTTTTCTAATTAGGCTATAAGTCAAGTATACTAAAATGTCATTTTAAGTATATTTCTGAGAAGTACATAAAGCCCATTTCTGAGAAGTACATAAAAAGTAGACTAAAAGTATACTTTCCTATTTTTTAGTTTAAAAGAAGTATACTAATAGCACACTTGAATAAACTTCTTTTTCGTAAGGGTATGTATAGTTATGTGTTTGAACATGGCTTGCAGAGTGTTTTTAGAGTGATAGTGTGTGTGTGAGTCTCACCGCACTGCTGTCTGTTTCTTATTTCTGTCCCATGCATTCCCAGCTGCTGAGGGTTCGAGTGAGGAGGTAATTGTCAAAAGAAACGGCCTCTCCCAACACTTTATCACATGCATACAAATAACTAAACCATAGAAAATCCTCAAGGACGTTCAGGGATGCATTATGATACTCTAAAATACAAATGTTTCACAAATATAGTCAATTTTGTTCCTCAGCTAAGTAGGGTAACTGCAGTATCCAGACAGCTTGATTTAAAGGTGAAGTGTCCCATTTTTGCACCCCTAGTGGAAACATGTGGAATTGCGAAGTTGCGGTCACATTTACTGTTCTTCAGCTAATTTTCATAGGCAAAATAGTAATTTTGTTAGGAATTCCATTGCAATTGTGAATTCTGCATAAGAGCAAACAATTTTCCCACACAGATTTCACAACAGGTAGAACAAATATGTTGTGCTGACCAACAGAAAGCTGATTGGTTTGAGAGTGACTTCTGTATGAGTGGTGCTTTATGTATCTATTGTACAATGTACACTATTGACAATAAACATTTGAGCTTTTTGCCTGCAAAATTTTGCCTGAATTCCGCCAATGTGACCACATCTTTACATATAGTTGTTTCTGTATGTTGGGAAAGGAAAAAGTATTTAAACATGAAAAAAATGGCGCACTTCCTCTTTAACATCACAAAAGTATGCACCTCACCTTTAAGAAGTCATATTAGTAGTTCGAGGACAGAAGCGTATGTTACAAATCTAACACTGCTGCTGCTGCTTTGCTTTGCTTTCTAACCTGTCCATCCTGAAACTCCGCCCACACCAGCAGGCTCCTCCTCCCAATCCCCCATCTAGTGGAACCACACCCCGCAAAAGGAAAGCCCCTCCTCCTCCTAAGTCTCCTGCTCAGGTACAATGGGATTCATGAATCCCATGAAACATTATAAAAAGAAAAGCATTTAAAAAAATTAATTGTCTTAAAGAGACAGTCCAACCAAAAAATGTATGAATTCTGTCATCATTTACTCACCTTCATATCGTTCCAAAACTGTCTTTTTTTCCATGGAACACAAAATTAGATATTTTAATAAATGATCATGCTAGTCTATTGAAAAAGGACAAATAAATACCATAAAAGTATGACAGAGTTTCCATTTTGCACAAAGTATTCCTTGAAATGTATGGCACTGGGTCTTATTCACTAATAATTGTATGTATCATTCATATTTATGCACACTTGAGAATGTCTTAAAATTTTTTTGGTTAATTCTCAACACATTCGCAATGCAGATTAAATTGTTCTTTACCTTGTTCTAATGTTAATGAATTTGGAATATTCTAAATGAATATTCTAAATAAAACACACCAAAACCATCTCCATATAAGGGCTTTCGTGAAAATTTGAAAGCTATTGATGAATCATGATTTTTGAAAATGTTTGTATGCAGATTTCACACAAATTAATGCATACGTAGGGCCCTATGAAATCTGTTTTATTTTTTACCAAATTCAGTTTTTATTTTTTCCTAAATTCTATTTTTCTATTTTTAATTGTTCTGTATTCCGCATTAATGATAAAATTTTAGTTTTTAAAAAACATGTCTAATTAATTGAAATCATGAAACTTGAATGTAACAACAATTTATTAAGTTTAACAAAAATTTCATTTTCAGGCCCCTATGAAATCAGTTTTATTTTACCCCAAATTCAGAGTTTTTCTTTTTAATTCAACTTCATATTTAAATAGCAGAATCACAGACACCAGTCCACATCGAGATTTGATCAAGTGTATAGCCCTTTTTCATTTATTCATCCGAAATTAGCAAAATTCTGCGTTATACTGTAAATTCCATTTTTATGACTGGATTCTCTCCATGTTTTCCACATCACGGAAATCATAGGGCCCTAGTATCATACACATGGTTACTGAATGACACCCATTGTTACAGTAAAATATGCATGGCTTATGCTTAATAATTCTGCAGGGCCCGCCTCCTTCCTCAGATGCCTCAAGCACACCACCTCCCCCTGTCCCCACCCAATCACCTGACTCACAGAGCCCCGCCCTGCCTTCTCCCGCTCCCAGGACCCAACTTCTCCCATCTGAGAACCTTGTGAGTGACAATAAACCTTTTGCTTTTAACTAATTGTAACCGCAATTTGCCCAACATAACCCATAGTCAGCAGTGACAGTACATTATAATAACGTAAACATTTAGTAATTTGAAATAATCACATACACTATTTCTACGTTGCAATGTGTGTTTGTGTCAGGTGGAGGATGAGGAGGTCTTTGAAGAGATCCGTAAGCTCAGGCTGGAGAGAGGTCGCCTGCTGCAGAAAATCAAGGTTTTGGAGCAGCAGCAGAGCAGCGCCTCCACTGCCCTGGAGGAGGTACTGCACGTCTTTAACTATAAATAATCAACTTAATGGCAATTTCCACTGAAAAGGAAGAAAATGGGGTTTAAAAGTCAAATTTCAGTGAAAGTAGTACTTCTGATTGTGCCAAATTTAGGAGTCCAAAAAAAGTTCTGAGTGGCGTTTAGATGAATATGTAAATGTGTGCTGCACTTTTTCCTCTCAATAACAGAAAAACCACACAACAACGAGCATTTTCTTTTGGAATTATGTCACCAGTTTGTTCTTCATTTTCACTTAAAGTATATCAGGGCTTTAAAGATACAGTTCACCCAAAAATAAAAATGTGTCATCATTTACTCACCCTCATGTTGTTCCAAACCTATATAAGTTTATTTCTTCTGCTGTAGACAACATTTGTTCTTCTGCTGTAGACAATATTCTTATTTCTCAAAATTATTTCTTCTGCTGTAGACAGTATTTTAAAGAATGTTGGTAACCAAAATATTTTATGGTAGACATTGATATCCATACAATTTTTTTTTTCATATTATGGAAGTCAGTGACTACCAGCAAATGTTGGTTTACCAACATTATTCAAAATATCTTCTTTTGTGTTTAACAAAAGAAAGAAACTAATACAGGTTTAGGACAACTTGTGTGTGAGTAAATTATGACAGAATTTTCATTTTGAAGGGATCTGTCCCTTTAAATGTATGTGATTTTGTCATAATATAGCGGTTATCACTAAATATCAGAATGTTCTGCAGCTAAACAGTCTGAGAGAGCGTCTGAGCGAGGTTGAGGCAGAGCGTGACAGACTGCTGGCCGAGCTGGAGGAGTTGAGAGCGGCTCAGGTGAGCGGTGTGACCTGTGACTCTGAAGACACGGAGGACTCCGATGACATGTTGGACTTCCCAGGTGAGCCGAGAACACTTCCTGTCACAAAAGTAAGTGGAAGAGCTGGAAAAAGCCCTGGAGCAAATTAAGTGGACATTAATGAACATTTTCTGTTTATGTCATATCAGGAGCAGAGAAGTTACTATCTAAGCAATCACGAGGTCTGGATGCTGAGGACGCCTCTCAAGAGAATCCTGCCATGGTGGAGCAGCTTCGCAGAAAAGTGGAGGAACTGACCTCCCAGAATGCAGACCTGGTTCTCAAAGTGCAGGTGGAGTTTCTCTCCTTTAATCACACACATGCAGAACGCCAACAAAGCACTAAATCACAGGCATTCACACACACATACAGATCGCAGACCTCATTGTCTGTGTTTAGATGTGTTTTCAGCAGCTTCTTAAAGGTTGTTCAGATGAGCAAGATAAATATGCACTAACCACATACTGCACCTGACCTGCTTCTTAAAGCCTCGCATCTGCTTTAGAGATTTAAAGATGGGAACACACAACACATGCACTAGTTCTACCTGATGCTGTAAGCTCAGATTTTTTTCTTTTTTTTGCATATTTTACATTAACATATATGTTGAATTACACTGGACGTTTTTTATTTAGTATTTTTTGCATTCTCAGTGGTAATTCTCATCAGTGTAATTTTTACATTGAAAATAAATCCTTAACTTGTATTTTTTTGTATTCTCACTGCAATTTTTACATCGAAAAAATATAATTACTTCATTAGAAGAATGAGATTTTTTGCATTACATTAATGAGAATTGAGATAAAAATGTGCTTAATTGTAACAAAAATAATGTAAAATGGCTTTATTTTCGTGAGAACAAAATTTAAAAAATAAACTTAAGAAAATACATATTCATTTGTTTTGGTTTTGGGGTGAAATGTGACCTCAACATGTTCTTTCGACTGATTTCTTGTTATTCAAATTAAACCCAATTATAATCATATGTTTCATGGTCTAAATATGCAGAGTGCTTATTTATATATCTAAAGCACAGCTGACATTATAATAGCACTAATCAGATCAGTGTGGTGCTGTATTCTTGTAAAAATAGCATGGCATGTATGCAAAGCACTAATATGGCATTCCACTTACAAAGCCCTGGTGGAAAATGTTTGGGGAACATGTGTGGCAAACTTGTGCTAATGAGCTTAGTAGAAAGTGTTTGTAGCAAATTTACCACTTACACACATTTGACATAAATCAGCAATGTTTTGGGAAGGTCCTCCGAAACTGGGTTCTATTTCATTGAAGTCCAGGGTTAAACAAACAGATCAAAGAACTCTATGAGGATAATGGCTGAGGCAACATATGGCAACTCATGTGCTGTCTGTAAAAGCGAAAACCAATAAATACCTTTGTTATTGCAATATTTGAAAAAAAATATCCAATGCGTTATGGTCTGCAGATGCTGGAGATGTTTGAGAAGGATGACACGGATATGCAGAGCTCGGGCCCAGATTTTGTTCCCACGGCTCAGTATGAATCTCTGAGGAGAGAGTTTGAGGAACTACAGGAGAAATACTCCAGAGCCCAGGCTTCAACTGAAGCCTCAAGCATCGCAGAGGATCCTGGGTAATGTGGTTAAAATGAGATCAGACTGATATTTTGTTAATCTTTTCCTTGATATGATTCAGAATGTTTCAGATTCAGGTCATTAACTAATAGCACATACTGTATATGTCTCCTGTATCTATACATTTGGTGTATTTTCATCCAGAAAACAAGTTTTTGCTTATTGTCAATGTTATTAATATGCTCCTTGTTTCTTTATTGGTTGTTATCGACCTTATTTTTTATTTAAAAGTGGGCACGGGCATATTTTACATTTCCAAAAAAGTTTGTTATGCTGCTTGATATTTCAAACTTATGATATATTGGGAAATTGCTGAATTTAAATGCTAATTTTACAAAATATTTACTCAAAATTAACAAAAAATATTTGAAAAATATTTAACCATTGATAGAGAATGTTGTTGGTAGATATTGGATATTTGGCTTTGTGACAATGTATCAAAACATGAACGCCAAAGATCAATATTTTATTATAAAAATTGCAAATATGAAAACCTGATTAACCTTTTGGTTCTGAATAATAAAATCAATTGCTTTTTTATATCAATACAGTTTTTATGACAGTGTTGGTCAGTCTGTCTGCTTGATATTCTGCCTTTGAAATAAAATGTAAGAAAATCACAATAAAATTGCAATAATATCGTATCATGGCTTAATTCTCACCCCTATTGACAAGGAAGTTATTGGAGCTGGAACTGGAACTTACCTAACCCAAACTAGTATCAATCCCTCATGCACTTACGAATCCTGTCAAGTAATTTAAATGTTTGCTTTCCTTCTTAGATCAGAGGAAAAAGATCAAAAAGTTCTAGAGGAACAGCTGGCTCAAGCCCAGGCCGAGTTAGAGGAACTCAAAGAACAGATGCGTCTGGGGGTCTATTCGGTGGAGGAAGCAGGAGCGAAGCCAGAAGGGGGCTCCGAGTCCCCTGAGGAAGGGGCAAATCTGGAGAACCAGCAGCTGAGAGCAAGGGTGCAGGAGCTGGAGGTGGAGCTAGCTAGCAAAAAGAGAAAAAGGGAAAGAGGGAGAGGAGGAGAACGAGACAGTTGTGAGCCTTAAAAAGCGGGTGGAAGAGCTGGAAAAAGCCCTGGAGCAAAGCAAGACGTCAGGGCACGAGGAGGGCGAGGGAATGCCGGTGAACGGGTTGCAGGCACGGGTGGAAGAACTTGAGCGGGCGTTGAAGGAGAGTGTCCCTCGAGGCCAGTTTGAGGAGGTTCGAGTCACTTTGGGTCTTCAGTTTAACCAGCTAGATCGAGAACGAGCTGAAGTGGCTACTCGACTCAACCAGGCCTTGCTGGAGCTGGAAAGGCTCCGCCCCTCATCCCACACTGGCAAAGATGAGGACGACGAGGATCCGTCCGAGAGCTCAGAGGTTTCTATTGCATCTGGTGAGTGCACCTGTTGTCCCTCTGAGACTCTCCGAAATAACCATTTGATTCCTGCCTTTAAATATAACTTCAATTTTAAACCAATCAGAGCACTCCCTGCACCTGTCACCAGGCGGACGGACCTTGGAGGCGATACAGGAGGAGCTGGAAGTTGCAAGGCAAGAGGCAGCACAAGCTCTGGACAGCCTGTGTGCCGAGAGAGAAAGTCGGGCTCAGGATGCACTACAGCTGAGAGATGCAGTACCACTTGTAAAACACCAGGAGGTGCTGTCTGCAGTAGCCCAGCAGCTGGCGCAAACAGAGAAAGAGCTGCAAGCAGAGAGGACACTGCGTGAGAAAGCGCAAACCGAGCTCGCCAGACTGGAATCCGAGCTGCAGGCTGTACAAAAAGACTCAGTTAGCAAGAAATACCATGATAAAGTCAAGGTAAGTTACATAAGATGCTAAAATGTAGCATTGTCCAATTTGCGAATGAATTGTTCTTTGGGATATTTGTGAATCCGTGAAGTTGACCAATAAAATCAGCTGTGGGGTGGGAATTTCGCCCATGTAATACATGTTAACACTGCAGAAATGCTTTTTTTTCCCCTCTATGCATAAAACAGGGGTATCCAAGCCTTTTCCTGGACTGTCCTGCAGAGTTTAGCTCCAACCATAATTAAAAGTGAAAGGGCACCCGGGGAGCAGTTGGGGGTTCAGTGCCTTGCTCAAGGGTCTTACCTCAGTCGTGGTATTTAGTGTGGAAAAGGGTGCTGGTTATTCAGTCCTCCCACCGACAATTCCTGCTGGACATGAGACTCAAACCTGCAACCTTTGGGTTACAAGTCCGACTCGCTAACCATTAGGCCACAGCTGTCCCCTACACACCTGAACCAGCTAATCATTGTCTTCAGGCTTGCTAGAAACGTCCAGACAGGTGAGTTGTGGCAAGTTGGAGTTAAACGCTGCAGGACTTTGGCCCTCCAGGAATAGGTTTGGACACCTCTGGACTGTGGTTTCTGAGCTTGATTCTTCCTCACTGCAGGAAGAGCTAGAGCGCTCTCTAGAGGAGAGTCAGCAGAGTGCAAGAGCAGCGCAGGAGTCTCTGAGTGACAAAGAGACGGAACTGAAAGAGCTGCGATCTCAGAAAGCTTTAGAACAGGGACTGGTGTCCAAAGAAGACCATGAGGCCCAGAGACTCTCCCTACAGACTGAGATCAACACCCTGATGGCCCAGTTAGCCGATCTAGCACGCAAGCACGAGAAGACCTGCACTGAGGTGTGTTGTCCTTGATGTTGTTAATGACAGTTTCCACGCCACCTATTTGCACATATCTTAAAAACAAGCCAAGTTTTATTTAAAAAAAAAAAAGGTCCCCCTCTGCAGGTGTTCCAGGTGCAGCGGGAGGCTTTATTTAATAAGAGCGAACGTCAGGTGGCTGAATCCAAGCTGGAGACCGTTAAAAAGCAGCAGGCGGATCTTCAGGCCGAGTCCACCCACATCCACCAGCTGCGCCAGGACATCCAGAACTCACAGGGGCTCATCAAGGAGAAAGACCGCAAGGTGTGAGGGAAAAAAAGTTGGGCTGCATCCGAATATTCCTACTTCCATACTTTACAAACTGTAGTATGTCCGAATTCACAATATTCATAAAACAGTAGGCAATAAGTACCTGGATGTCCTCCAGTGCGACTCTGAAGTGCATATCTAATGGACACTTGAGTTGTGAATAGAATGCAGCAGTCGGGTTCTGAAAGTAAATTCATTGTTAATCGATGCATTATATGCATTTGTTGAAGTCATCATTTCGCATTATTTCAAAATATGCAAAATGTTCAATATTGGAATTAGTGGTGAAAAACTACATTACCCATAATTCTGGAAAAAACTCCACCAATCAGAGAATCACATCAAGTAAATTGCATCGAAATAACACTTTAGCGCCTCTCCATTCCCATGGATCACCATGAATGATGCAAAAATCCATTATATGGAGATGTGATTCTTTTTCAGCTTTCTTACCGTCTCCCTGCAGATCACAGAGTTGTCTAAGGAGGTTTTTCGTCTGAAGGAGGCTCTGGGGGCTTTGACACCTCCGCTGGGACGTTCCCCTTCGCCACCGTCCTCAGGGATACCTGGACAACAGCTGGCACTGCAGAACCGTGTGACCGCATTAACACAGCAACTCCAGGTGAACATATTCCTCCTCGCTTTATCAGCCTTATTGATAAATACACGCTTAAAAATAAAGGTTCTTTATGGGCATTGATGGTTCCATGCGGAAGCTTTAAGATCCATGGAACCTTGCACAAAAGGTTCTTTATAGTGGAAAAAGATTCTTCATATTTTTAGAATGTTCTTCACATGAAGAAACTAACATTTCTTGTAAGAGCTATTCAAGGTAAGGTTCTTTGGGGAACCAAAAAAAGTTCTTCTGTGGCATTGCTGTGAAGACCACCTTTTGGAACCTTCATTTTTAAGAGTGTAGAAGAACCATTTTTGATTCCCTAAAGAATCTTTCAGTGACATTTTAATGATCTCAACAACCTTTTTCCACTGTAGAGAACCTTTTGTGGAATGGAAAGATTCCATGGATGAAGGTTCTTCAGGGAACCACCAACGCCAATAAAGAACCTTTATTTTTAAGTGTATACATTTAAATGAATAACACATATCTAAAGTCTTTCCTTTCATCTTGTGCTTAGGACTGGGAGCGCAAACACAAGGCTGTTGTTTCAATATATCGTTCTCATCTATTAGCTGCTGTACAGGTGAGAATCGTAAACCCAACCGTACATCTACAGGAACGTCTTATATTACACTTATCTATGTGACTGTTTTTGACTCAACAGGGCCGGATGGATGAAGAAGTTCAGGCGCTTTTGCTTCAAATCCTCTGTATATCACAGAAAGGTCAAAATTAGTGCTTTGTAACTGACAGCAATACAAAGAATTCAAGTGACTGATAAACATACCCTTGAACCGAAGCATATCACCACTGTGTACCGCCAATGAGAGGCATTGAAACTGTGAAGGAGAAGATATAGTTTTGGAACATGACAGAGATGATTATATTTCCTGTATGTGACAATTTATGAGGGACAACACAGATACTTTTTGTACCACATTTCAATAAACACTGAGAAATGCTGCTGACGTGCCTTTCTTTGCAACTCTGCAGTTAGGCCTCTCACAGTACTGTATGTCAAAATTTACTTTGTGGTAAAGAAGAACGTTATGATTAATTTCCGTGGTGCTAAAAAGATGTGTAGCACACCACAGGTAATCTGTCTATTTCAAACTCGGCTGGTATACAGGACTCGCGCCTACACATATTCTCACACCACAAACAGCTGAGCACGTCTGTTAGTAGAGGTTTCCTTTCCTTTTCAAATCAGAGTAATATTTCATGTAAAAATTAAAATGTGTCATGTCGATTGAATCTGAATTGTTCTTTCTTCTGTTAAAAAACAAAAGATGCTTCGCAGAATGTCCAAGTTGCTCTTTTCCATACAATGAAAGTGGATGGTGATACACTACTACCATTCAAAAGTTGATGTTTTTTTTTTTTTTTAAAGTAATGATACTTGAAACAAGGATGCATTAAATTCATCAAAAGTGACAGTAAAGACATTTGTAATGTTGCAAAAGATTTCAATTTCAAAAATGTTTATTGTTTATTATTATTTTGAATTATCTATTCAACAAAGAATTCTGAAAAAATGTATTATGGTTTCCACAAAAATATTTGGCAGCACAACTGGTTTCAACATTGATAATAACAAGAAATGTTTCTTGAGCCCAAAATTCAAGTATATTAAAATTATTTCTGAAGGATCATGTGACACTGAAGACTGGAGTAATGATGAAAATTCAGCTTTAAATCACAGGAATAAATTACATTTACAAATGTATTAAAATAGAAAATAGTTATTTTAAACTGTAATAACGTTTCACAATGTTACTGTTTTATTGTAATTTTGATCAAATAAATGCAGCCTTGGTGAGACTTCTTTTAAAAGCATAATAAATAAATAAATCTCATTGACCACAAACTTTTGAATGGTAGTGTACAATGCTAAGCTCTCAAAAAAGACAAAAAGCATTATAAAAGTAATCCATATGACTCGTGACCAACATTGCAAGTCCTGCATCTTTTAAACAATGACAACATTTTCATTTTGGGAGTACTGTCCCTTTAAAAACAAACCAAACATTTCCTTGTACTTTCCCCTTTCTGTTTAGTTTTATTGAGAATGCTTTTAGAGCATAGAGGAACAACATCTTAAGAAAGTGAAGTAAGTGGTTTTTAGTGGTGGCAAGGAGGTCTAGAATACCTGGAGAAAGTTATCCGTTAACATTCCCATTTATCTCAATGTCAGTTGCTAGACTGGAGCAAGAGCCCTGTAAGTATGTGCTTTGAAATATTGGTGATTTATATGTTGTTTGCAAAAACTCATGGCTACTTTTAAATGGCTGTCAGTGGATAAAGATGCTTTTTGGACCCAAATGGTACAGCTGCAGCATCTACCAGTAGGCACTAACTGAAATTTGCTAACTGGCTAAACCCTGACTCACTATTCCTCCTATTTCTGCCATATCCTAATATTGCTGAAAAAGTAAGCGCAGTATGTTATTCCAAATTCAGCTGCTGACATACTGTACACAAGAGCTTAAGTGAAACTAGGATGCAGTAAGAATGAATAAACCCTAAGTAAGTGGAAGGACGTTTTTGAAGTAAAAAATAAAAATATTTAAGGCACTGGAATCTTCTTTTTGGATAGTGGGGAAGACAAAGAAAATGTGTTTCTTTATACACTGTAGCGAGTCAAACTCTTCTTTTTATATAACCAGAATATTTGAACATTTATAGAGGCAGGTTTCTCCAGAAAGCAGCTTTTAGGTTGAAATAAGATGGTTTGACATTACAAACTACTTATTGAAATGTATAAATATGTTTGTGGTTGACTTTTGTGTGCAGATCAACAGCAAAAGTATATATATGAGGACTTTGAAGGTGCATTCAGTAGTTAGCTAGTGCTAGCATTGCTGTTCTTCGTGTACTTAGCCACAATGGGTGTTAAGCGCTTTTTCTTGTCATCAAATCTTTCCACTTTGTGTATGTCAGCATGGTTTGCACTTGTTTTTTTTTTCTTTGGTCGTACAGGTAGGAATTCTTCTGTTGTCTTCACTGGCAGAACACAATAATAAGTTTCACTGTCTAGTTTTCACTCTTAGCGTCACCAGACTACACTTAGCTACTAGCATATCTATAGGATTGTGAGGATTCTCTCAGACATTTTAGGGTGTGTTCACATTGTACACCAAAATTGCAGTCATCTGCATAAGAATCAGTGCAGTATGGAATTTTGCATGAGGGACGCATTAACGAATTAGTGTCAAAATTTTGTGGGAAAAATGTACGATTGTCAATAGCATAGAGATGTATGAAGCACATAAGTCATTTTTAAACCAAGCAGTTTTTTGTTGGTCAATGTGGCAAATCTGCATGACCAGAAACCCATTTGGGGAAATGTGTGCACAAATTTAAACAAATTTAATTATTTGGGCGAGTAGATTAAATAGAAAATCAATGAAAAGACGCAAATAGATGCGAATTCGCAATTTGATGTTCAATTCGCAAATTGCTGCTCAAAAAAATTTCAACTCGAGCGGGAAATTAGCATTATGCGTTGTCGCGCAAGCCAATCAGCGAAGAGTTTATTCACATGTCTGGTTTGATACGACTGGTTGTATCAGAAAATGGAGGAGAGCATTATTATGTTTTTATTCGCGCAAGTAATAAAAAAAACACCCCATGTGTAATCTAGAGTGAGTAACGTGATGCGAAAATTCACTTCGCTTTTGGTGTGCACACACCATTACACTCTCACATGAAATTCCTTATCGTACAGATTCCTATTGAAATGACTAGATTTCGCCCGCTAATTTTGCTGAACTTTGGTAAATGTCTCGCACCTTGAGGTGAAACATTTCCCCATGGAAATTTTGCATCGTATTCAAGATTGTTACGTAAATTGGCAGCTTGTTTGTCAGGTGGTAGTTGATCAGGTGAATGGATTCCTATAGAAATGACTGTACTTCACCTATGAAAATTCGCTGAACCTTGGCAAACGTGACCACATGGCTGAGGCTAAATATTTCCCAGCGCAGATTTAGCATCGGATTCAAGTTTGTACTGTTGCAAATTCGCCACATTTAACAAAAAAAGCTGCTTAGTTTGGCAGTGACCTCTGAATAAGCGGTGATTCATCCATCACTACACTATTGATAACGGACAGCAGACCTTCTTTGTTTTTGAATCTTACGTTTTGCTAATGTGACCGCTTTTATTTATTTATTTTTTTTTTTATTGGCACCAAATTACTGAATGCACCTTTAAACGAAACTGTGCACATTGTGGGCATTTGTTTGTGACTAAACACAGAAGAGAAATTGAATATTTTGAAGTATAATGCGTGTCTGAATCACTAAGTTTAAAAAAAGGGCAATATCACATGAGAACGACCCAAACGTTTGGTCCCGAGTTCATAAATTAAACATGTGCATTTGACACGACTGCATTAGTGCGACTGAGCTTATGAGCTTTATATAACGTCCTTAACAAATACTGCATCCTGAGAGCAAACCGTTGGTATGCACAACACAATGATGTCCAAAGTCTCAGAGGTGACCATCAGAGAAGATCAGAGCCACGGTTACTCAATACATCACATTTAGAAACAACAGCTCACTGACGACGAGCGCTCGTATGGATGTAAAGGATAAGATGGTTTGTCTCATGTGTTTCTCCTAAGTTCACATTTCAGGCTATGCCAAGAACAATCAGCTGGGAAACTCAGTGATCACAAGCACTTTATTTCCCAATGCCAAACTCTCAGTTGGGGTCTTCTCAGTTGAAGAAGGAGTTGGTTGAGCAAGACATGCTGAAAGCTGTTTGTGGTCAGTGCCGAAGGAACAGCGATATCCCACAAGTCCCAGTGGAAGCTCAGAGTCTGTTTAAGGCAATAGTGTGGGGCCTCTAGATTGGCGGCACAGGTGACGGCTATGCACCCTAAAAAAAACAAACACAATACTATAAATCACCCAACCAAAGAGCTTTGATAATCTGTAGAAACATGCTGCAAACCTCTTATCATGTACTCTAAATGGGCTTCAAATGGAGGTCAGTTCTTTCTGCAGACCACCTGCTGGAGGTGTAACTCGCTCTCTGCTGCAACAATCGGCAGCTTGTTTGTCAGGTGGTAGTTGATCAGGTGGCTGATGCTCTCGAAAAGCATGTCTTTAGTCCGAACCTAATGAAAAATTAAATTAAAATTAAAAACAAAGATCATATAAGTAAAATGTGAATTCTTGTGGTTTAAGGGTGTTTTCATAATTGGTTTGATGGTTCAAAGTTTGATTATTTGGCTTTGCGAACTCAACTTTTTCATAATAATAATAAAAATAATTTTTAGAATGTTCTCTTATTTTCTTTCGTTTTAAATTATTTGTAACTATTTTTAAATTTTTCACTTTCATTTTTAGCACATGTATCTGTTCATCAAGTTTTTATTTTGATCATTTTTTAAAAATATTATATTATTTCAACTTTATTTTCACTGACCTTATCGCTGTATTATGTATGTGCTATTCAAATAAAAATATTTTTAGCAATAATAATAAAAATTCCTTTTTTTATTTTTCACTCTTATCTTCAGCATTTTCATCTGTCATATTTTTGTTATTTTTTATTTTGTTATTTTTTCTAAAATAATATAATTGCTATATAAATATTAACATTTATTCATATTATTATTATCATCACCAGCAGAATTATGACAGTCAAGCACTCATTAATAGTCATTAACTTGCGAATCAGGCTGGATTGCTTTCATACCAGTTGCAAAATATACTTTGATTCCACACCTTTACACCATACCCCTGATCCTCCTTTTGAAGAGAACTTGGGGGTTTCATTGATTATATTGTGAGTTGGGAAACAGCCCTGGAAACCCAACTCTGACATCAAACTAGCTCCTCATCAAAATCTACAGTATGAAAACTGAGCTTGAAGCACCACTCACCACTCCTTCAGGATCCACCAACAGCAGATGTTTGGGAAGCCCGCACTGCATCCCAGTCAGCACATACTGGCCCGGGTTAGTGGCGCTGTCCCGCACCAGAAAATCTCCATCTCGGCCCAGCAGATTCTCTGCGTCCCTGCGGCTCATGCGGCCGTGATACCACATCTCCCGCCGCAGCTGGTCCTCTGT